TAGTGCTCGGCTTGCAAATCCTCCCAGCATGGAGGGGAGGCAAGAAGCCCACATATGCCCCACCCTTAGAGCTAGTATCTCCTTAGCCACACTAGAGAGAAGTCAAGACATGTAGGAGCTCCCACTCCCACCCAGTGCCACAAGGTCACAGGAGTATCCTCCTCCACCCCAGTTCCATTGACGCAGGGAGAAGAGCAAGGGAGAGACAGTCTGTCTGAGAAACTGAGTACTTCTATGCAAAAGAGACTGAGAATCCTCTAGAGGGACTATTACATCAGACTAGGTTACAATCCAGAATAGATTAATAAATTGCTAACTTTCTCACTGCCCAGCGCATGGGATCCTCTAAGTAAGCATGTAAAACAAACGAAACCAAGAACATATTACGTTCATGTATACCTCTGGTGCTTTGAATGCTTCAAGAAACTAGCTATGTACGTCCTAGCAAAAGTAAATGTGCCTTCGGCATGTCTGTGACTCAGTTTACTTAGCTGTAAAGTGAGAATAAATACTAGTTCTTGGCTAGTATTTATGTGTCTAGGCAACCATGAGCATCACATTCAGGGTTCCTTCAGACAACAGTGTGTTGCCTTCCTGTGGGAATGGTCCGCAGTGGAGCAATGAATGGGACAGAGTGTGGAGGGTGTTCAGCCTGGAGCCAGCATTTAGCGGTCATGAGCTTCCTTTCCATGGGATAGTTGGGCAGGCACCTATCTAGGCTGCAGACCTTTGCCAGAGGTGGGCCTTGATCCCTTTTTAAAACAAAATTTTATCATTTAAATTATGTGTATGGATGCTTTGCCTGCGTATCTGTCTGTAGACCTCACACAGTGCCTGAGGAGGCAGAAAGGGTCAATTGAACCCCGGGCGGTGGTGGCGCACGCCTTTAATCCCAGCAGCACTTAGGAGGCAGAGGCAGGTGGATCTCTGTGAGTTCAAGGCCAGCCTGGTCTAGTTCCAGGACAGGCACCAAAGCTACAGAGAAACATTGTCTCAAACAAACAAACAAACAAACAAACAAACAAACAAAAAGGGTCAATCGATCTCCTGAACCTGCAGTTAGAACCATTTCTTAGCCCCTGTGTAGGTAAGACTTAAATTCAGGTCCCCTGCAAGAGCAGCCAGTACTGTTAACCCTTGAGCTATCTCTTACCCAATTTATTTTTATAAGGTTTCTTTTTATTTATGTTTATACAGATATATCTGCGTGAGTGTATGTAACATATGTGTACTTCTCCAAGTACACAGGACAGAGAAAAATCCACGGCAGACCCTACAAAGCTCCTGCCTCCAGACCTGCTTTCCATTGTCCCAAAGACCACCCTTGGCATCTGCCCCTCTCTGTGTGAATTTTGAAAGCCAGAGGTGCTGCTGGTTTCATGATCCTCAGTTCCCATGCTGAGCCCAGATGTTAGCAAACCAGGGCTGAGCCATGCTTGCAGAAACTTGTTGGAGGCTGGATTAGAATCTTGGCTCCCCATTCCTCCTCCAGCCCCCATGCCTTGGTAAGACTATATTATTTTCTTAGCTCAAATTGCCATTCCCAACTCATTATTTCTCTATGACGAGAAAACAATATTGGCTCTTATGTAATAGCAACCTCAATGAATCTGGAAGTGATCATGGAATGGGTGGATTTTTCCCTCCTTAAAAAAAAAGAGAGAAAAATAAATTTGAGATTGTTTGCATATGCCTGAGAATATTTATGAACTCTTCCCCTTTTTCCTCATTGCATATTTTACCCAGCACATTTGTGTGTAGTGTGGAATAAATCTTTATGGGAAGCAGAAGCAGAGCAATTAAAAGACTGGGTATCCATCAAGTTCATGGGACATTAGTCATTAAGGGTCACTGGGTGCCGTAGCCTGCCTGAGGTTAGTTACCACAGCCAGTGTCTGAGGAAGCCTTTCAGTGGTGAGATCCCCCCCCCACATACACACACACACACACACACACACACACACACACACATACAGAAGGACTTACAATCCCCCGTCTTTCACCCTGGTCTCTTTCTTATCCATTTTAACCAGAGTAGAAAGTTCACTGTGAGTGGTTTCATGACCCAAATGCCATCAGCTGAAAGAGATCATTTAATCCTGTGGTTCAGGACTGAGCCAGGAGGCAGGAGGGAGAAAGCTGGAAGAGAATGTCTAGGTACTGTCACGGGTGGCTTGTTAGCCTGGAGTGTTTCAGCATGTGGGTATGGTGTGTCTGTTCCCCTCTGACCATCCCTCTCTACATGGTTTGTCACCAACAAGGATTCCAGAGGGGATAGGGAGACATAGTTATGGCTATGCATTAAATATGCAAGGGAGGGTGCATGTTGGCTCATGCCCGCAATCTTAGTATTAGGGCGGCAGAGGCAAGAGGAGCAAAAGGTCAAGACCATCTTTGCTAGTTATTGAGTATGAGCAAAAGTTCAAGGTCATCTTTGTGCTTCATGAGCAAATCTCAAAAAGAAAACAATGATAACCATTGACCAACCTGGTCCGGTACAGGCCCTTGTCTCAGGAACTTTCCCTACACTGAATTGAGTGAACCTAAAAGGGGCCATGTGTGACTTGGGGATTTTCATTGTCACTGAGATAAGGAAACTTTCACTCAGTGACACTGAGGAGCTAACCTCTAGCCAGAACAAGGGGCACAGGTTTTTACAGTGCCCAAAGTTAATACAATAAGCTTAAACAGGGAAGTGAAAAAAGTCATGTCCCCGCCCCCAAGTCATGAAGAGGGCTCTTCAGTTAAAGGGCCTTGAAGCTATAACCTCAACTGTGAGTCTATTCTAGGCAAAATCCAAATCCTAATGGGGGCGGGGAGTTAATTCCGCTTCTCCTCTCGTGTCTCTACCATGATTACTGCAGGTCAAGTTACTGACAAGCAGTGAGCATGCTCAGAATGTACATGCCCTGTGTGACATTGTAGTAAGGATGCAGTGGACCCAACCATAACTGTTATTAAACTTTACCCCTTCCAATTCAAGAACTCATTTGGCAGAGAGTTGGAATCTATCCAGAGCTGCTCTCCCAAGGTCTCCATCATTGCTTCCTGCCTCTTTGCCAAAATTCACTGTTGCCAAAATTCACAGGTCTGCAAGGTCTCCAAGAGGCGTTGGGAGTTAGGACTTGGAATGTCTCCCTTCCCTTTGCATACTCCTTCATATTCATCGGCTGACACAAACTGATCAAAATTTAACAACTATACCATGTGTCATGGTCATTTTTAAATGTCAACTTGTCACAACCTAGAATTGCCAGAGAAGAGAGTTTCAACTGAGGATTTATTTAGATCCGGTTGAGCAGGAATTACATTGATTGCTCATTGATATGAAGAGATCTAGCCTACTGTGAGTGGCACCATTCCCTAGGCAGGAGGCAGGGTGAGCCAGATAAGAGAACAAGCAAGCAAGAAGGCAGCCTGGCTATTTGCTTCACGCTGCTAACTTAACTATGAATGTGGTGGGACCAACGGGTCTTGGGCTCCTGCCTCTGACTTCCCTTCAAAGATGATCTTCAATTCAGTAGTGTTTGCCAAATAAACCCTTTCTTCCCTAATGCTGCCTTGTAACAGGATGGTTAAGTAGAACAACAAAACTGAAACTAGAATATTGTGCTATTTTTTCCTTTTCCTGCGGGGATTGGGTTTTCGCCCCACTCTATCGCTGAAAGTAAGCAAACAAATCCAGCATGAAATGCAATCGCTTTGGGGAGAAAAGCATAATAAGTATTGTCCAGTACCCACCCTCCGCCTTAGCCCTTGAATAGTCTGGTAATCCCATCACAGTCTAGACAATCACTGAGGGGAATTCAAGCATTTTCCCCAGCTCTTCTCACTCTATTCTCTCAAACCGAAAACACAAAGCAGATGATGAAGCCGAGTTCAAATGCCACACCAGGGAGAAGGAAGTATTGAGAAACTAACGGCCTGCCTCTAGCCGGTTTCCAAACATTCCAGGAAGTGTTCAGCAGCATTGTCTCAGACTAGTGTCCTTCCATTGTCTCAGACAAAAGGCCCCCTATGAAAAGACAAAAGTGGGTTGTTTGGGAGTGGCTAATTAGTAGAAGGCACATCTGGGGAGCCATGACAAGGAGGACAGACCTCACAGTTTCTCCTCTGGATGGCAATGTCCCCCTTGTATCTGAGGCCATGTAGGTCAGTGGGAACTCTTGGGATCTCAGGAGCATGCTGTCAAAACAGAGTCTGGGGGTGGGGGAAGTTGAGGCGCGGGGCTGATGTCACAGGTACAGTGGTTAATGACCATGCAGCGACCCTGCATAGTCAGATGCAAGGTTTCCATGACACCTTTCCATGATGTAAAGGTCCTATGCTCCTGTGTATCTAAATGGGTCAGTTGCTGTACTCGGGATAGCAATATAAATGTCTTCTGCCACCTCGTCTTCTTTGCATCCATGAAAGGTGACAGTCTCTATGCAGTGGAATTGAATGCGCATTGCTAATTGCTATTCCTGTCTGTTGCACTGGTCTCCTCAAACAGGGCTGCTCTCTTTCCTGCGTCCTGGTCCCTGAAGGTCCCCTCCCAATTTCCAGCTAGTTTAGTCCAGGTTAATGCTACCAGAAAACTGGTCCTATCTTAGGACTATTTCTGTGTCATTTTTAATTACTTAACCAGCCCTTTCTTCAAAATTAGTGTGTGTATTGTGAATCATTGACAAAAAAATAAATAAAACAAGAAAGTAGAAGTTGCCTAATGTTGTACCTGCTGGAGATAAACTCCGAATACTTTGACATATGCTTTAGCTACTGAAATTCTTATTTAATAGGAGACACATCTTAAAGTAAAAGGAATTTAATCAAATTAAAAGGAATATCTGGTGTTTTAATCAAATTAAAGAAATAACTAGTGTTTGCTGCCTGGTTAGTATGTATGTGTGTGTGCATGCGCGTATGCATGTGTGTGTGCACACATGCATGTGTACTCTGAAGTCCCTGTGACTATTTAGTAAGAAGAGACCTGACCCTTCTTTCTTCTTCCATGGCAGCCCTTGAGAGGGGCTTGACAAGGGCACTGAAGAAGCTGGATGATTACCTGAACGCGCCTCTGCCAGAGGAGATTGACACCAACACCCGTGGGGATGAGAAAGGGTCCCAGCGCAAGTTCCTAGATGGAGATGAGCTGACCCTGGCCGACTGCAATCTTCTCCCCAAGCTTCATGTAGTCAAGGTAAGAGGGGTCTGTGCATGGGTATTGCCCAGCCAAATGGGTGGACGAATCAAGGGTAGTAACTCCTGGGAGCCCAGGCAACTCTAGGCTCTGAAGTCAGATTTATTAGGGACCAAGATCAACCTTCACAGCTTGCTGGGTGAATAGCCTGTCTGGTATTGAATTTTCTTACATTAAAAAAAAATGTATACATCTGGGCATTTCACCTGCATGTGTGTATTACACTGTGTGTGTCTGGTTCCCATGGAAGTCAGAAGAGGCTATCAGATACTCTGGAACTGGAGTTACAAATGGCTGTGAGCTGTCGAGTGTATGCTAGGAATTGAATTTGGGTCTTTTGGAAGAGTAGCCAGTGTTCTTAGTCACTGAACCATCTCTCCAACCCTTGAGCTTTCATACTCATTTATAAAATAGTCATCTGTTATTTATCTCCAGGATTATTGTGGGACTTAGAAAGGTATGAAACTGCTTATTTTGCTATAGGGGCTCAATGTATAAGTGCAATGCTACTATATACACAGTTGCATCCCAGCCTCGTCTTGGAGTTATCCCTGCCTTGCTTTCACACCTGTATTAGATGGGTGTTCATGGGTCTTCATGGATCGCTGTGCACAGACTCTAGAAGCTCCCTCTGGTACCCACCTGCCATTGTTCCTCCCTATTGGCTGAAGCCATAGAAACTGCAAAGGAGTGGCGCTGAGAATGCCCGCTTGTCCTCAGTGTGCCCGCTGCCCGTCTGCACCACCTGCTCAATCTATAAAAAGTCACAGATTGAATGCTTTTAAGAGGAAATTTTAGGGGTTGTCTCAAACGACCTCCAAACTCACACCGGTCTGCTTCCTGCTGTGTCTGTGACAGCCTTGTGTGTAGCGTGGAGGCATGTGTCTGGTGAGGAGACCCCATCTTCCTGCTGCACACAGCTCTTGAGTACTAAAGCATCCTTCCTTATATGGAGCTCAAGCCATGCTCCAGAGCAACGTGGGACAGCTCCATTGTTGGCGGAAGTTTCTGTCCCATAAGCCACATCTCAAATGACCACACAGAGACTTATTATTAATTTGAATGCTCAGCCAATAGCTTAGGCTTGTTACTTACTAGCTCTTACAACTTAAACTGACCCATATTTATTAATTCATGGGCTGCCACGTGACTCATGGCTTGTTATCTTATTTTTACATGTCCTGTTCCCTCTGTATATGCCTGTTGACTCTGCCTTCCCCTCCTTCTTCCCAATGTTCTCTCAGTCTGGCTTTCCTACCTAACCTATTTCAGCCTAGCTATTGGCTAGTTGGTTCTTTATTAAACTAACAAGAAGAAATTTCTTCACAGTGTATAAAAGGATCATTCCACAGCTCTCTGTTCTCCTTTATCTCATTGGGGGACAACATTTGGATCCTACTGAGGTCTCTAAACAGACACGCCTCTCTCTCCTTTCCTTTCCTCTCCCTCCCTCTCCTCTCCCCTCGCCCCCTCTCTTTCTCTCTCTCGTGTGTGTGTGTGTGTGTGTGTGTGTGTGCATACACATCTAAGTATATGCACTATAAGCACACGGAGGCTATATGTTAACATTGGGTGTCTTCCTCAATGCCTGTCCACCTTATTCTTTTAAGACAGCATCTATCACTGAACTCAGGGCTCACCAATTTGGTTAGACTAGCTGACTAGTGAGCTCTAGGGACCCTCCTGTGTAACATGAGGGGCCGGCTTGTTGGTGTATCTGTCCCGCCTGACACCCCAACAGTCGGCAAACCCCAAAGAAAATCATACAGAGGACTCCATAAGATTATAAACTGATGGGCCCATTAGATCAGGCTACTTATTAGCTCTTATAACTTATGTTAGCCCATTATTTTTATCTATGTTAGCCACATGGCTCAGTACCTTTCTCAGCAGGGTAGCTTACATCTTGCCTCTCCAGTGGTCTGGGCAGAACTGGGAAGAATTAACTTCCTCCTTCCCAGAATTCTCCTGTTCTCCTTGCATCATTTCCACTTCCTGTCTGGTTTTCCCACCTACACCTCCTGCCTGGCCAATCAGCGTTTTATTTAAAACATGATTGATAGAATACAGACAATTCTCCTACACCACTCCTGTCTCTATCTCCCAACCCTGGGATTCCACATGTATACCACCACACCTGTTTTTGTGTATGGGTTACATTAGGAATCTACACTCAGGTTTCCATGCTTGCAAAGCAAGAACTTTACTGACTCCGTCATCTCCTCAACTCACCCTGACCCTCATCCATTTTGATGCTCACCATCTAGACTCTAGACATGCTGCAGACTCTAGAGCAACATGCAGTAGGGTCTTATGACCAAATAACCCCCTGCTTTTACCATGTCCATGTCTTACCATCTCATTCTGACCACAGAACCTTTTCCAAGTGTGGTGATCCTTTAATAAATGCTAATTTATAGGCAATACGTTCAGCTATTATGTTGTTTAGGGTAGTCATATTATTACTGTCCCTCACTGAGGAGAAGGCTCGCCTACTCTCCATCAGCAGGCCATAGCTATTACTTTCAACTGAAGTATTGAGCCAGATACATAGACTCTCCTCCAATTAGAGCGCACTCCAGCCTATGGTGAAGTCACTTAGCTGGCCATCCATGTGTGAGTGTCCCATGGCCCTGGGTTAGCACTAAAACTGGGGAGGGAATTACATGCTTCCAGGGCAGGCCAATACAACACTTTAATATGAAGACATTTTCGGCTCAGGGCCAAGCTAAAGATCTCTTGTAGGACCAGCCAAGTGTGTTACTTTGAAGTTATTAATTATTGCACACCCCACCCACCAAAGTGTGCTTTCTTCTCCTTTCCCTGAACAAGCAGAACCATTAGGTACGTGTGATGCCCACTCAGTCACACGGTGTCATGTGATAGAGTGGAAAGATCAGAAGACCCAAGTCTAATTCATCATCTGCCACCAACTAGCAGGGCGGACTAGGGCAAGTCATTTGATCTTTGAGGATTTCATTTTTTCTCATGCCTAAAAGAAGAGGCGTGGATCAAATTTCCTTGCTTCCTTTTCCTTCCTTCCTTCTCTCCTCTCTTCTCCAACATGTACAGGCAACTCACTTAGGCATCCTTTGTCAAAGTAAGCAAACACACAGCACTCACAGGCTTCTATGCCATCCTCCGAATGCGTCATCTCCATCCAGCCCTAAATGACCAAGTTAATCCCCTGTCCTTGGAGACACTTCAGTGGGTTTCTAGCTCTGGGAAGCCGGGGATCAGATGGAGGATGGCCTAGCAGGGAACAAAGGCTGGGCCCGGGCTCCTGTCTCCTTGGATTTCTGCTGATCCAGCTTATCAGACCCAGGGACCTGGCAAAGCTCTCCAGTGCAGAGAGCATGAAGGGGGAGCCAAGGCAGTTCGGCCTCAGACGCCAAAATCTAATCTGGGCGGTGGGAGCTAACTGTTTTCATATGAGACAGCACATTCACAGCCTGAGCGAGGAAGTTCCTCTGGACCTCAGAGATCTGTGCATCCTCGTTCCTGCTTGCCTTCCGGTCACAGCTCTCCCCATCCCAGGATGCTGAGGGGCCGTGACCCACACTCACCTTGAGCCTGGTCTAAACTTCCATGGGTGGGCTTTCCCTGGCCCCGCACAGTGGCTGTTCTCAGTGGGCCAACTTGGAAGAGAGATTGACGTATACATGCAAATATTTATATGTAATTGCATGTCTGTTAGTTCCAACGTAATGAAGATAACCCAGGATATGTATTCCAGTTTGCTTTGCTATTGCTCTGATAAAACAAGGACCAAGAGCAGCTTGGAGGTTTATATTTGGCTTACACTTTCACATCACAGTCATCATAGAGGGAAGTTAGACCCGCAACCCAGAATAAAGAACCGAAGCAGAAACCAGGGGGGAACATTGCTTCCTGGCTTGCTCCCCTTGGCTTACTCAGTTACCTTTCTTACGTCCTGGCCCACCTGCCTAGGGATGGTACCACCCACAGTGGGCTGGGCTCTCTTACATCAATCAATAATCAAGAAAATGGCCACATAGACATATCCACCGTGCGACCTGATGAAGTTCCTTCTCCCAGATGCCTCTAGTTTGTGTACAGTTGACAACACCAACCAGTACAGCTCTTACGGAGCACTAGCCTAGAAACCTAGCACCACAAAAACAAACCAATGGATAAATAAATAAAACTCCCAATTAAAATGCTAGCACTAACCAAGTATGGTTTTATTAATTAGTGCAAAGATATCCCCCAACCCCATTTCTCTGAGCTCAGCTGGCACAGCCTCTAAATAAACGATCCAGGTTGTTCTCTAATTTGAGATCCTCCTGCCTCAGTCTCGTGAGAATATTTGGATTCCAAGTTCATGCCTTTGGGCCAAACCATGCACACCATCTCTTAGTAGATTCATTCGCTGTACTTTGAGCCATTTTTATCCCACTTGGCTAATTCCATCTAGTTCCCTTGGTCAGAAAATCATCACGGTCTAGATTTGCTCCAAGCCGAGACCATCTCTTCTCAAAGGTCCCTGGCCCTCCCCTTGTAGCGACCAGAGGGAGCTCTGGGACCGCTGCTGCTTATTGTTTACTGGCCACACTCAAGCAGGACAGAACATTGTAGGTGACTTCTTTGGGAGGATTTCCTATCAAGAAGTTCTACCTCTTGAATACTGGGAAGCAGAGATGTGCCTGGAGGTTTCCATGCTCAAGGACAGCTACTTTCTCAGGGGACCACTCGGATTTGTGGGACTGTGTCAATGGGGAGCCCTGAGGATGTGGGTCCTGCAGAGATACAACCTGGACTTTTGAGGTGAGAGGGATGGTTGTCTGTGTCGGGAGCCAATCTCTGCCGCTGAGTCCCTGTCCTGCCCTGTTCCTTCTGAGCAGGCATGGGATGTGTGGGAGTAAATAAGAAACAGGGCTGCCATAGAGGGCAGTAGAGCCATCGGAAGGGGAGCACCTCCTACCCTGACTTCCAGCCTTGCTGCAGGTGTAGTAACTTTTCTTCAGAGCCTGTAGACCTGCCTGGTGAGGCACAAGTAGGCTGTTCACAACCCCAATATTACCACAACAATAACAACAACAACAACAACAACGCAAATTGGGGAACAAATTTGGAAGCAAGCATAGGTTTTGAGGAATGAACAGATTCTACGGAGGAAGGGAGGAGGTCACAGGAGCATGGGGTCACATGGGGCCACCTACAAAGCCTAAGATCTGAGATTAGAGTAGCTGGGGTTCATCAGCCCTTCCTCAGGGGGAAGAGGCAGATGCGGGGGTGCAATCATTTTGAAGGAGCCTTGACAACTACTAGGGGAGAATGGACATAAAGACAGGGAACTCGAAGGAGACTGAGAAGCTACCGGGCAGGTGTGCATAGCGGCCAGTTTCCCTTTCCAACACAGACAGTGAAACGCTAAGGTGCTATAGCAGGCAATTCTCTTCTGTCTGAACTGGCACAGAGAAGTAGGGCAAAAGCAGAGGGACTTTGAACCCTAGGCAGTTTCTTGGGTCTCCCAGGATGTCAGAGAACCAGGGTATCATTGTCTGAATGTCACCAGTAGGAGGTCACAGATTAACTGGCACTTAGGGCCTAGGATCTGAGTTGCCCTGTTTCCTCATCATTTGCATAGGGCTGAGTGGAGAGGAGAGTTATGGGGTAAGCGGGAACCGCAACAAGTGCTCCTTATTGCTCAGTGGACAGGCACCGTACTGGCAGTCCCTGTGACCCGCAGTGATTCTCACCCTTCCTAATGCTCAACAGACAGGCACCGTACTGGCAGTCCTTAATGACCTGCGGTGATGCTAACCCTATCTCACACCATAGCCCTTTAATATAGTTCCTCATGTTGTGGCAACCCCCAACCATGAAGTTATTTTCATTGCTACTTCATAACTGCAACTGTCATGGTCATGAATTGTAATGTAAATATCAGTGTTTCAGATGGTCTTAGGTCACCCCTGTGAAAGGGTCCTTTGACTCACAAAAGGGTCGCGACCCACAGGTTGAGAATCACTGCAACATGTCATGAGTCTTTCGATCTCTTCTGGCTCCAGTTTGCTCATGACTAAAGAAAGTTTTCACACTTAAAATGAAAGGTTTTGGAACACCAGGGATGTGACTTAATGGGGGTGGTCTGCCTAGCACACATGATTCCTTGGCTTCAATCCTCTGCAATACACACACACACACACACACACACACACACACACACACACACTACAGAATGGTTTCATCACATATAATTCAGTGTACCTTGTCTGATGTTGGGATAAAAGAAGATACCAAGGATTAAATTCAGCTGTGCACCTAAACTTTACTTACTAAATGACTATGCCTCTCCTTTCTCATCTGGACAATAGGTATATGGTCCTTGCAGGATGCTTCAGAGATCTGAGTAGCTTGTACCCAGTTCTGAGTAGCTTCCCACAGCACCCAGATAACAGAGGGTTTATGAGCCAGTCATTAGGATTACGGAAGGGTATAGAAATGAGAAGACTGTGGTCCCTCCCTGTCCTACTGCTGCTTACAAGCTGGGGAGGAGAAAAGGATGCTGTCACCCTTGCAACTCAGGACAGAATGTAAATATTGTCCTGGAACCTGAAGACTGGAACGTGTGCTCTCCCTGAATAGAAAGATCCCCAGAATGAGTTTCTCACGCAGTAGGTCATCTTTGTCCTTGCCTTGGCACAATTTTCTGTGGACTTTACATCATCCAGATGGGAAGGAAGGAGAAATACTCACATGGCTGAGCTGCGGGGTTCTGAGCAGAATATCAGATCCTGTGGTTTGATGTCTCTCCACCCACAAGAGAAAATGGAGAAAATGAAGGAAGTTGGGAGCAGAACTCTTGGAGAGATACTACTCTCTGCTGCCCCTGCCTGACCCTGAGAGCTATAGGCAGGATGAACTAATGGGTAGGTCGCAACGAACAGTGAATACAAGAGCCCTTGTTAAAAAATATATATGAAGACTCTGCTGATATTAACACAGCATTAAAGCAAGAGCAAGGGCCTTCTGTCTGCAAGGCCCTGGGAGAGCTCATAGGTCATGTGTTCAGAAAGTTGTCCGGACTACACAGACCTTATTCAAAAAACCACCCTGCCAGCCTCCATGTAGTGAAGAAGCAAATGCATGAAATGGGCAGCTGCCGGGCCTCAGTGAATCGTGTTAGACAATGGCTATGGAATGTCTGGATCTCCTCTGAGCATTCTGTCAGGACTTATTCACCCATTTCTGCAAGGTAAAGTCCTGCTATCACCTCCCTGTCAGAGAAAAGCAAATTAGGGCTCAGAGAGTTGTCAGGGATTTGTCCTTAGTCACAGCTGTCAGATGGAATCGGGATTGCAAAGTGGCCAGATGAATCCCAGAGCTGGCCCCTAGCCACTGACCCTACTGTTCCTATAAACACAACCCTCTCTTCCCCACAAGTCCTGAGCCACATCTGGTAAGCGTGGTGACTCAGAAAAGAATGGAGATTACTAGTGGCCCACACCCACACCAGATCTAGAACCTACATATATATGCTAATACCTGACTCACTTTTCTAGGTCCCACACCACCACCATCACACAAAAATTAGGATGCTTATTTAAAGCAAAGCAGAAGAGGGACCAAAAATAAAGAGAATTTGAACTATAACAGGTAGCATGTATCTATAATCCTTGTACCCAGGAGTGGAGGCATGAGGATTGGAAATTCAAAGTCTCATAGGAAGTTTGAGGTTAGCTTGGTCTATGTGACTATGGATACTCTATTAATAATATGCCCAAACATATTCCCCCAAATTTGTTATATAGTACAGAAACTATGTCTACCTCAAAAAAAATTTCATATCACTTGGGGTTTCCTTCACAGCACACTTTTTTTCGTTTTTATATATGTGTGTGCATATGCATGTTTGCACGTGTGTGCATATGCATGTTTGCATGCCTGTAGGCATGTATGTGCCTGGGTGCATATAAACATGTATTGCATACATGTAGAGGCCTGAGGTTGATGTCAAGAGTCATCCTCAATTTATCTTCCATTGACTCATTAAGACAGTCTCTCTCAATCAAACTCAGAGCTTGCTGATATGGCTAGTTTTTCTGGGCAGCTTCTCTCAACCTTGGTGCATGCAGATGTATCTGATCTGCACAACCACCTGTGAAATCATGGCCCTAATACCTCCTACTGATTTGTGTCCCTGCCTTCACACCACCCCTGTCTTGTCCTCTTTGTTTAGATTGTGGCTAAGAAGTACCGGAACTATGACTTCCCGGCTGAGATGACAGGCTTGTGGCGGTACCTCAAGAATGCCTATGCACGGGACGAGTTCACCAACACCTGTGCGGCTGACAGCGAGATTGAGCTGGCCTACGCAGACGTCGCCAGGCGCCTCAGCCGATCCTGAGCTTAGCCATTTGGCCCGATTCTGCTGCAAAGGAATTCTATTTCTCCCAACGGCCTTCTACTGACTCATTTCCCCCTCTTACCTTGAGGAAACATTTAAAAGCAAAGAACGAAGCCACATCCTGCCAGCACCCCTGAACTCAGCTCCAGCCTGCTACCTTCTAAGATCAGTGCCATCCTTCTGCCCTGACCCAGGAGCCAGACGAGAGGAGAGAACACAGCAGCAGACCTTCCCACCTGCTGACCCGATCTAGGGTCGGTGGGCCTGGGGTCAGTTTGAAGAGCTCCCATGGGATTGTCACTGGTCGCTTCTGCCAATATCACAATGCTTTCCCTGATGTTTTAGCAACTTCTCCACCCCACCTCTTCCTCAGTAACTGCGAGGCCACCGACAAATATCATCCCATGATCCTTAGGGAGAGAACCATGCTTTGATTGGAAGACAGTCCTGGGGGCGGGACTCAGCTGGGTGTGGCTTTGGGAATTGCACAGAGCAGTTACAGCTGCTGACTATTTCTGACCGAGGCCCGTATTATAATGTCCCCTTGGACACGCCCCAGTGTGTCGCTAGTAGGCCCGTATTATAATGTCCCCTTGGACACGCCCCAGTGTGTCGCAGTGCTGGGACCAGGTGCAATATGATTATGTCCTGGCCAGCACTGAGCCTGGCTTTCCATCTGTCTCCGTTCTGCCACAAAGGCAGTTGAGCTATAATTGTAAACGGACGCGATCCGAATGGAGAGGGACTTCCAGGAAGCAATGTTGATGCCAAAAGGCCCCGCAGGGCCTAAGCCACAGCGGTCACTGACTTAAGAGTACTCAGCCACCGGAGAGCACATGAGTGGGCGTGACTGTGTTCTTCAATGAGTGGCTTTGGGTGGAGTTGTGGTGGTGGTGGGGGGGAAGGGATGGGAACAGATAAAGTGAGGAGTTTGGGGTAGCCTAGTAAACCTTCAGACCCGTCGTCTCCCTCACTATCTAAATCTTGGACTGCAGTTAGGGCACACACACCTACCAACCATCAAGCAGACTCCAACATTGGCCAAAAATGTCTTCCGGGCCCTTCCTAGTCACTTCTGGATGTGGGTTGCCACCTGGGTGTGCTCAGGCTCCCGGCTTCTTCAGCCCCAACATCTGATGGAAGAGAAATTCTAATAGGGACTGGTGTGATCAAGGGTTGCCTTAGGAAGACAGTCCATGAGTCTTTCTGACTGGGAAGCCACAACTTGAATTTGGAAAATATGTACTGTCCTGGGTTCATTTTCCCGCCATCAGACTCATCTATCAGATTTTTAAGAAAAAGGCATTTTTTTTAAAGCCTAATATTTCTCTCCTTAGTCGTCTGCCTTGTGTTTTACCTACAAAGCTCATGGGGCCTGAACATGGGAACCTGAACTGCCCAACCACTATGACAAATGAGTTAATCATTCGCTCTTCCTCTACCAATGAGCTAGTGCGCACATGGGAGAAATCCATCCGCTGGGCCTCGCTCTAACAATCCTGCCTTCTGTGTCGCTGCCAGTGCAGGGTGAGGCTCCTGAGGACCGGAAAGCCCCTGGACTTGGCTCATTACTCCGGAGGGTGGGGCAGCACGGGTCCTTTCCACAGAAACGTCAACATGTGCTAACAGTCACTGGACTCACCTGCCTCTAGGGATCGCCAAAGCAAAGCACGACCATTGATCCAAGAAGGGAGGAAGCGGGAGGTCTCCCTAGCCCATTGGGGAAGAGGACTCTGCCTGCATTTTATAAACCTGAAAGGGCTTTGAAGGTGCAAAATGAGTCCATTCATTTCCACCCTACAGGAACCTTTCCACAGGCTCTTGGCAAGCTGCCCCTGGGGTGTTTAAAGGGCAGCCCTGCTGAGGGACCAGCCCTTTTTCTGCAGGGAAGAGCCCCTAGTGGGCCTGCGGAGCGGGGAGGGGCGCAGGAAGAGCTTCTGGAACCATAGCAAGGCTGTTTCATTAATAGGAAACCATGTTATTCTCAGGAATCCTTCCCAGAACTTGCAAGCAGGGTGAACCCCAGGCAGTTCACAGCCCTGTGTCCTACAGGTGGACCGATGGCGAAGACCAGGATACATATAGAGGGGTCCCCGATGGAGGGGAAAGTACTCAGGACCCTCACGTGATATTCTGATCCCGGAAATGGGCAATTCTTGAAAAATAAACTGCCCAAGCAGAGTCACTACTATTTCTAGAAAGTCCTCCTGTGATCGAGTTAGTTTTACATAAATAACACAATTTAGCCCATGTTGGATCTATCATAACCCCTTTAAAAAGTGGCAAGATTATAGGACAGAGGCTCTTCTGAGTTCTTGAATTCAGAAGTGATTTTAATGTTTTCAGAGAATCATGATTAGACCGACCAGTGTCTTAGGACATAGTTGTCTTGGTATATAAAAATAGCAATAAAGTAAATGATGATTATGCCCCCATTCCCCACCCCTACCTCCGGAGCAGAGTTTTCTTCTTTGGACCTTGGCCTTAACCTTGTCATGTGTATGGTTCACCATCTGCAGCCACACTCTGGTAGGTTCTAAGTCTCAGCTCAGACTGTGTGCACTACCTGCAGAGATTGGTTAGAAGCTGTTCTGGCAAATGCCAGTCCCTCAGGAAGCATTTGGGTGTCAGACTAACTATTTTAATGGAATATTTCCTCTGTATTCATTTCTCACCTTGGATTGTCACATAACAATTGTGTGTGTGTGTGTGTGTGTGTGTGTGTGTGTGGCAAGTGGGAGGCAAGGTAGACAGCTGGAGTGAGACTCAGAATTACTGAGTTGCATGTATCTACCTATTTAGAACTTCCTACGTCTTAGGTTGACCCAGACGAAGGTCTTTGTTAAGGGATTAGTAACTATACACAGGAAGATAGAAAGTGAATTTTTGGTTGTTCCAGAACACTTCATATTTTCCTGGCAGCAAACAAATCAGTTGCGAAGTCGGAAACAGTCTGTTTATTTAGCCAGGTTCCAGCTTCCTGGTAGAAGGCAATTGCCCCTGGTTTTTCCTTCTGGCACTGGTGGGAGCAGATAGGACCTTGATCTTTTCATCCACAAGAAGCCGCTCCAAGAGTGAGGTTTGGGGGATGTTTTTGGTACCTTCTGGTTGCCGTGAGATGAGGCAGCAGTTGAGAAGACAGCACCTGTGCTTCAAAGTGAGCATTCTGCAGACAGACAGTTCCAAGCCTTTTAGGACCATCATGGGAATGGAGCATGCTTGGCACAGACAGTTAACTGTCTACAAGTCTCAGGAACCTGCAAGGCCCAGGCAAATTGTGTTTTGAAGGAAGCCGAGGCAGAAGCTGGGTGTCCATCTAGTAAGAGTTTGCCGCCATCACTGAACGGGTTTGCAACAACAATCAGATAATTCTAGAAGCAATAGGTGTCTGATAGGTGCTTCTGGGATTCTCCATTTTCCCATGGTCAGAGGTGAGCTCAATACAAGATGAGTCAGGAAACTGATGTGGCCTTGCTTGGAAACATGCAACATTAACTTGTGCTTCAAACTAAGTTCAGTGATTCTCAAGGCTTATATTTTGAGATCTAAGTATTTGTATCATATATATTCATATATATTATACCAATATATGGCATTAAGAAAGATCTTTAAGCTAAGCATATACCTTTAATTCCAGCACCCAGGAGGCAGAAACAGGCAGATCTCTGTGAGTTTGAAGTCAGCCTGGGTCTACAAGGTGAGTTCCAGGACAGTTAAGGCTACACAGAGAAACCCTGTCTTGAGAAACAAAAGAGAAAGAAAAGAAAGAAAGAGAGAAAGAAAGAAAGAAAGAAAGAAAGAAAGAAAGAAAGAAAGAAAGAAAGA